GCTTAATATTTGCCTCCTTTTTTTTTTTTAAGTGGTCAATGCAAACACAGACATACGCTTACAGCTCTGCAGCAAACTCAGCCCTCTTGAAAGCTGTTCATTAAGCGCCTCTGAAACATCACCGTCAAGGTGTTAGATCACACACGGGATGCTCAAAAGCTGTGCCCAATGTTGAAAATTCACCTACCCCATTTGCTTCTGCCTCTTCCTGCATGTAAAAAAGCCATGACCCCATCACCTGTCCTTTAGAAAACAACTGGTTCCCACTGTAGTTTGAAAACACATGTGCTCATGTTTGGGCTATTGCTTTTGAGGATAAACAGCAAGTATGGAAAAAGAGGGGGAGGGTATATGACATGGCCCTTTTGCAAACTGACAGGTGACTCGGCTGACATCAGGCAGTGGTGGAGCTGAGAATGGTGCTCCTCGTCCCACTTCCTAAGCAGAAGAACAAATTCCCACCTTCCACCTCTTCGATCCTTAAGGAAGAAAAGGCTGAAAGGGATCTGCTGCCCACCCACTGTCCCAAGGACTCAGGGGCTGAGTTAATCCCATCACACTAACAGAACATAACAATGTGTTGAGAGTACTTACCACATTCCTTGAAATGGAAGAAAGTTGCTGTGGTTATTAGTAGCTCCTAATGATATTTGCATAGATTAACAGACTTTAATGCAATCATGAATGCTACAATCTCGGGGAAAATAATGAAGAAATCCATTATGAGGTAATAAAGTAACTAAGTCAATACAGTAATAATTTGATCCCATATTAGTAATAATTTCATCTCCTGCTGCAAGGCAATTTTAATGCACATACCATTTCTGGACAGTTTTATAAATATCACCTTTGTTTGAGATAATTAATTAGCAAAATCAAAAAATATATTGCTGGTATTTTATACGATAAATTAGTCATTAGGTTTAAACTGGCAGGCTGTAATAAAACTTATTAAGATAAATGTGCTGGGATTCTTAACACTTCAGAGAAGCTGTTCTCCTCTGTCTTAAGGTTCTTCTGGTGCAAAGCTATTATCACTGCTGGGTGGTTTCTACGTATGTTAAAACCCAATTATGAAAATCATGTTTATAACCCCGACTTGCTTAGCAATAGGAGGTGAATGCATTAGCCCATACCTGCCCACTGGACGAGGATAAGGTGAGGGTGAGTTGCTGAGGGCCCTATTATTTCCCTTCACATCATCAGTCAGAGCCTCCTGCAAGACTGAACTGAACTAACTTTACTTCAGAGGGACCCAGGTCCAGGTCATCCTGCTGATATAGGGGACTGTTACACATTCAGGGGCAGGGGAGGGGGAGAAAATTAATCATTAGGGGGGAGGTTACCAATTCTAGTTTTCTGCTTCTGCTCTTATTTTGTGATTACTGAATCATTTTTTTTTGCTTTCTAGAAGTGCCTGGAAATCACAATGGACCTCAGCAACATCTGTGATAAAGTGGCCACTGGAGCCAAAAGCTACTATACTTTACAGTGATCACCATTTCCAGCCCTCTGAAATATTCCCTCCATGTGGCTGGGGCTCTGAGAATGGCTTTTCTGTGTGTTTGGGGAGCTGTCCCAGCCAGATGGCACAGGCTGGCTGAAACCGTCAGAACTGGATGGGGACCAGCTTCTTGCAAGGAGCACAACTCTTGCCATCTAATGAGCTGGTCTTGGCTCCCTGGAAGACAGTGCTGTGTGGCCAAAGCAAGGATTGCCATCCTGGGCTTCATGACACCACTATCGAGGAACAGGGGTATTAAATCATTAGATTGCCTTTTCAGAGGGCATTGTTTGGGTCTCGCTTAGACATCCCCTGAGCCAGTTTGCTGTCATCTTCCCAGGGCATTACAATTCCCCACCCTGGCCAAACTCGGCCCTTTCCCTGCAGTTCCCCATCTAGCTGGGGTTTCCAAATCCATGTCAGTTTGCATTTGGAATGGTAGTAAATGACACAAACTGATGATCCATCAAACTCCAGTCTTCTGTATGGGCCAATTCTCAATGCAAAATAGGAATGTCCCCAAAACCTCATTCTCGTTTATAAAAAACTCAGTAGAGAGTTCAACATTTAGCTGGGAGCAGGCCATGAATGCTGCCGGAATCTGCTATTAAGCCAATATTGTAGCCAAGTAAACAGTCAAAAACCAGATTAAGTAGCAAAGCCCATTGCTCCCCTGATTCAGAAACCCACCTCTGGTGTAATAACGTTAGGGCAACATGCTGCATTATAGAGCTAAGAAACTCTACTCTATAAATACTTCCTTTCCTAAAACACCACAGACACCACTCTTGAAATAAAATGATAGAATTAATACCTTGTCATATTTGTTTAGCTTCTTTGGGGACAACAAATCTTTTCCTCAACCAAGTAGCAATACCTTCACTTTAAGGATACTTTCCCATTGTTGTACAAAGTGCTTTATGTACAAGTCCGGTTTAGGAATCCCATAAGGTCTGGAGTGCTGGAGGCTGGAAGAGCAACTGGGGCAAAAATCACTGCACAAGCAGTTTGTTGTGATAGTTTTCCTAAGCGAGCTCTACTGGCCAATGTCAGGGAAGGCTATTGGACTACATGAACCTTCAATATGGCTCAGAATAGCAGTTATCATATAATCATATCACATCCTGGTGCCAACTGGCATGGTCCATTGCATTCAGTCAGTGGGCTGTATGCCTTCTTTTCAATAAGACCTTATTAGACTTGAATTTCCAGTCCTGATATTGGGTATGTTAATTGAAGAGCTGTTTAAAAGTGTTGTGACATGAAGAGGACTGCAAGTCTAGGCAAGGCCTCAGAGATTATTCCATTTGCTGTTATTTGTGGACACATGTCAGCCCCACTGTTCTCTCTGTTCTATCATCTCTGATTTGGTGCTTTTGAATATGCAACCTTTGCTCTGGCTGTTTAAAGGGGAAGGCATGGTTTTCAGGACCAGCTTTCTGGATGTAGGTTTCCTCAAACTAGTCTGAGACTCCTAATTATCCACTGGACCTATTCCTTTGGCTGATGTCTGTTGTGCCTGCTGTGTGATGGATGCATGTGACAAGTCCTTCTCAAAGTTTGTGAGCCACAAGTGATCTGGCACCTCCAAAATGATGTTTCAGTGATGTCTATTGGGTGGATTGTCTGTTGGCTATTATGTCTCTTCCCTGCATGAATTGAGATATGGAAACACAGAATACAAAGTGTCCATTTTTTAATTACCACATGCAACTGCTGAACTATCGGGGAGAATAGTGGCTTATTGGTAGCCCCATCCCATCCCTCTTACTAAGGCCTCCTGGATACACAGGATGAGGTGAGAAAGCATTTAAGGACCACTGGGATATTCCTGGGGGGTCCATCCCATATGGCCAAGTTGGAAAATCTCCTGTACAGGTGGCCATTTTAGACTTAGCTGGTTCATGAGAGTTTTTGGGAGTCTTGCTGCTCAGGCCTGTTTTGCACCAGGGATCCTCAGCTCTGTGGTCATGCTCAGCACCATTAAATCAGATGACCTCAGGGGTGAGGGTAGGGAGGAAAAGGCCTAGGCATAATCCCTTCAGCATCTCCTACAGAAAAGTGGCTTTGGCGACAAACGTCTCGCAACCGCCATTCCCACAATCGTTCCCCTTGTCGATACGATGACCTTTCAGCAGCGGAAGCTCCTTTTTATTACTCTGTGCACTGGGGTAAACCAGGCCACGCTGTGTTATCTACCCAATTTATCAACACTATTTACAGCAGGTCCATTCTACTGTCTGGCTTAACTCAGTGCCCAGAGACCCGGCATTGAGAGAGGACGCGGCTGCTGGAGAGAAAGAAATGTCAATTCCAGCCTAGTCCCCTAAAGTGAAATAAAAGAAACAAAGTAAATAAGGAAGGAGAAGTAAATACAGTATCTCCAGGGTGATTACGTCTATCTAGTCCAATACAGGCAAGCATGAAACCAATAGAAACACCGTCTTATCCTCTTAGTTATCACCACACACAGAATGTCATCTCTTGCTGGCCTAAAAAGAAAGAAGCATGCCACATCCATCTATAATGAATATGACATATCTCTCACCCGCTTGTATTTCAGCAACCCCAAACTGCTGAAAAATGAGATAGGAGAGTCTGTTCTCCCCGTTTGCCCTGAATCATGAGAATGGATTAAAATTATTTTTGTTCTGCTTCTTTTTTTAAGGATTACTTTGGGCAATTTTGTTTTCTTTCTGCTCTTCTGTGCTTTAAGGATTCAGGTTTGGCAGCTGTTCTCCACAACTCTGTGATCAAGATGTAATATTTTACACTTTTCAAATGAAAGAAAATCAGGTTGTTATATGCACAAATGCTTGTAAAGGCTGTGGGTAATTGGAAAACATCAAGTATCATGAGACTCACTGTGAAATCACAAGGGTGGCAGTCTGCTCCCTCCATCACACTCAAATCATTTGAGCCCTGGGCCTGCCTTTCTAGCAGGTCCAAATTCACTGGAGTGGCAAAACAGGCCATGACCCTTCCCCTCTGGTACCAGCATCTGGCCTGTAGGATGCTTTGAGACATGCGATGAAGGGGATGCTGCTCTGATACTCCACAACATGTCTCAGCAGGTCTCTCTTAACATCATGTCCTCCTGTCATATGATCTGTACTCCCTTCACCCTTCACCAAGAATCATGCCATGGTCATCTATATATTCTTCAAATGGGTTAATATGTTCATTATATATTTCTCTATCTTACTTTCTTGCCCCCTGGATTAGTATCGGTCCTTGACAACTACACTCAAGACTAAACAGGTAGCCATCAGTATGTTGGATTTTGTCTTGTATTGTTTGGGTCAGTACTGAGCCATCACAAGGATGGTCCATGGGGACTGTGACAAACAAAAGAATGTATTTGTTTCCTCACAGCAGAAATAGGCCCCCACAAACTCCACAGCTGTGATGTATCACAATGTCTGGGCACAGTCAGAAATCTAACTCAACCCAGACCTCACAGATTTACAAATCAATCAGAGCAATATCAGGAGACCTGGTGGAGGCTGCTTTCTTAAATCACATTTGAAATGTGAAATTAAAAGAATAGTGAGAATAAAACATGAAAGAAAAGGTCTGTATACAAAGAATAATTCAGACAGCTTCCATTGAAACTAAGGGCCGTGTTGAGGTTTCCTATTATAATTACACTTCATTGCTGCCTCTCTCTGATGGCTGCCTAGGAACCAGCCTTTGACAGCCTCCCTCTAAAGCAGGCTCTCTAGTTTATTGCTCTCTTGGAGTTGGGAGCCATAACTGTCTACTCCAGGCACCTAAACCAGATGTCTGGCTGAGGCCCTAAAGAAACAGTCTGATTGCACATGTTTTCAAGTCAGAGCTTCATTCTAGTCACCGTGGACTGGCCACAGCAGATGACAGGAAAGGAGAAGACAGTAGAGATCAAGACCACATTCTTGTTCATCCTTCCAAGTACTTCACCAGGAGAGAAGAGACCCAGGTCAGGATGATGTCTTGTAAGGCAAGAGTCTCCCTTGACACTGCAATAGGCTTGCTCACAGTATGGCTATTGACCACCTCAGGTTCCCCATAGCAGGAGCAACAAGCCAAAGGCATCCAGAGGCAAAACACAAAGCATTTAACAGGATTAGCTTGTACCAATTCCAGAACAACCAACCCTCCTGTAATTCCCTTTACAACTCCCTCCTTATTTACCCTGGTGAGCAGAACAGCCCATCCTTGGTCATGAGCTGTTCCAGTGCGACCATCATTCAGCTTTTGGTAGCTGCCTTCCAAGAGTCTCATGGTCATTTGGACACTGCCAGTGTTGTGAGATACCTTTAGCACTCCTATCTGATTGGCAGTGAAGTGTAACACCACTAGCACTGAACTTTCTGCAGTGTCTGTTAAAGATAAGGGGGAAAAAAAACTTGAATAATTTATGTAGTTAGTTTAATTTAAATAATTTATATGCTAAGCATTGCAAACAGAGCTGGAGTTGATAATGAGTCCAAGAAGCACATTTTGAACTCAGTTGCAGATTCTACTGCATTGTAATTCTTTCAGGATACAGGATTTCCTAGCAGTATAAAGGCCGGGGAGTGTAAACAAGGTAGTTGCTTGAAGATGAGTCTGTACAGACTCCTTCTTTACCAATTACCACCAGACCGTCTTATGTTCTCTGCAGCTTGTTCAGTTCGAACCTCCTGAAATTATCAAAAGCTGCATGCGTTTCCCCAAGCCACAGAGAGAACCTTGGCTCCATTGTTTGACAAATAACAGTTTGTAACTGGAGTAATCTGTAATCAGGAATCAATTAAAGAGATATCAACAGGAAAGGAAAGATAAGGGAAAACCAGGACAAAATCAATGAACATAAGGGAATTGATCATTCAAAGGGTCTTTCTTAAGCAACTGGGTCCTTTCAGAGGACTCTCTGCGGCATGTCCCGTAGGCTTTGTCTTTTCATCTTCAGCTGTTTTTTGGCCATTTTATGAGGTAACCCTTCTTTTTAGCAGTGGGGAAAAAAAAAATATCCAAGCCCCCGCCCTCCAGGTTCATCGTGTGGCCACTGCCTTTTACACTTACAATGCAAACGAAATACATCTGAGACGTTGCTCAGAGATAAAGAAAATTGTTGCTAAACTTCGTGAATTCTTACATTAATTCATAGTGAATATCTCCAGGAACACTTTAGAAGTTGTACATATCCTCCTCATGGATGCAAGCCACAAAGAAATCACTAGCACATACCTCATGAAAAATAATTTCCCACAAATCCTTACAAAGCTTAAGAACCATCTTTGTCATAGTAGACCAGTTAGTTGCTAATAGCTCCTTTTATCAAGATTTTTTTCTGTTTGAATTTCTAATGTCCTTAAAAACATACGTATTGGTTTCAAAGAACCCACTAGAAGAGCAGTCAGGAATCCGTATTACCAACTCCAGCAACTTCTTTGAGCATCAGGATATTTTGTGTTGATCCATGATTCCTCCCAGAGTTCTGCTGTTATGTGTGCAAATCACAGCTTTCAGTTAAAAAATAAATACCTTTCCAGACATGAATTGCTGTGAAAAAAAAATTGTTGAAAATGTGAACCAACTCCTGAGCTCTGAAGACTTGAAAACCAGAAAAGAAGTGAAAAGAAGCCACAAATGTAACCATTGAAAAAGAAAAAATAAAGGAATGATTTTTAAGCTGATCAGTGTTATGATTTTTAGGGGGTCTTATTCATCACTTTTGAACATCTGCAGGTTGGCACAGTCATGAAACCATGAAAGGCTTTGGAGATTTTTCTTGTAAAGCGCCAAGATTTGTGTCATTTCCTCTTGTCTGTTGTACAATAGTTAGGGAATTCACATGCCTAGTGAGAAAGATACTGATAGCAGATCACAGAACTTGTTTCAGGGGCTTTCCATGATCCCAAGGGGGCCAAAGACAAAAGCTTGATGTGAGGAAGTCCAGAGGTTACCCTCCTCCCTAGATTGCCAAGGAAGACAATAGGAGCCCAGGCTCTCTTTGTGCCCTGCACATGGACTTGGAAAAGGTCATACAAATGCAGAAGACATGGTTCTGAGAATACCTACCTCAGGTGAAGGACCTAACTGCATTCCTAAAAGTAGGAAAGGTTTGGGGAATCTGGGGTCATCACCTCTGGGACCATATTTGGCTAACTGTCAAAATGTGCATCTATTTGTATCTCAGTCAATACTTAGCTTAAGTGAAACAAAATTAAGCAGAGATGGGCTCCTGTGGTTCACCCCTAATCTTTCTCACTGAACCCCCTACCCTTTGCTTGAAAAAGCATGTACCTCAATATCCAAAGCAATGTCTCTTCAGCTGAAATGTTGTGGGTATTAAAAGGGACAAAAGAATTTGCTGTACTGAGCTGTACAGTGTTGGTCCTTGTCTTCTGCCCAGATGGCGCTTGCTGCCTTGAAAGATGGTGATCTCCCCATTTCACCCCCGTAATTCACTGGGTCAATTATGCAAAGCTAGACAGAGAGAGCAAGAGAATCTTTTCCTGACCTCATGCACCATCAGTTGGGAGATTCCTTTATCTTTAGCTGGTGATGCCTTGATATCAACAGGAAGTTATTAGCACTGCTGGTAAATAAAGGCGTTTAAAATCCATTACAGCAAGATATGTAATGGGCTTTCTTTCCATCAAGATTTCTTTGTCTTGTACAAAACACAAGCAGGGATGAGCCTTTCTCCCAGTGGTGGGTGGTAACGGTCAGAGCTCCTTTGACCTCCTTGCATCTGACAGCCCTTTCCCTCTGCTCTTTAGGGAGGGAAAGGTTAAATGTCACCTCTGCCTTTCTTGTTTCCTTCTCTGTTGCTCTCTGAGAAGGAAAGGCCTGAAATTCATATCGGTGACATCAAGTACAGGGTCTGCTGTGCTACTGCACTTTTAAATTAACAAAGCATCCAAGATTCCCTCTCCTCTTCTGTCCCCTCCTCTCTCTCTGCCTCTTGGCTTCTTTCTTTCTCATTCAAAGCTAAGCTGACCAAGCATTCCCTCTGCCTGATTTCCATCTAGGACTGAGCGTCCCTGCTCTGCCTTACCAATAGCAGGCTCAGCTTTCCCCATGCCTCACTGAAGATGGGACTTCAGCAAAACAGTGGGAAGAGAAGATGGAGGGGAACCTGCTCATATACATCTCTCTCTCTCTTGAAAATCCACATGGCACCACACAATACACCCATGTCTTTCTTTTGCAAATCTGTGTTTCCACACATCCTAAAAATGTTTTCCAACCCACCCAGCACTTTCCCTTTTGCCTTTCCCATTTCCTTAAAATCCCTTCACAGAGTCTTTTTTCCTCCTCACTTGCTCCAATGGACTAGAGGAATGAGTTGAGTTCACCAAGTCACACCTTTAATTGTTTTTCTTCCTTCTTACTGTATTTACCACCACCGCTAGCACCACCATCACTGCCAATCTGCCTGCTTGGTGTTAAAAACTTGGCTGAGCCAGCATGGAGAAGGCAGAAGAGGACAATGCACATCTTAGTGTCACCATGGCAGGTGTGGGGGTAACTTTTTTCCTACCACTTCTGCCTAATGGTGGTAATAGCAAATTAAAAAGAAACAGGGAAGGATTAGAAGGAGACATAAAGAAAGGTTCCTCTGTAAAGAAGGCAGGCATTTACCTAGGAAGCTAGTGGAATCTACTTCTAATTACTGTTCTTTTGCTAGATTCAAGAACCTCACAGCTATGAAATATGGCTCTTTCCCCTCTCCTGAGCTAACGGATTTAGGACCTGTAATTGTGTGTGATGTACATCCACAGCTGTGAAGCTCCTCACTTTGTAGAGAATACTCATCAGTACCCTTTCCTGGACTGCTCCTGCTCACCTTACCGGTGAGATGTAACTCATAACACTTTGGAAAAAAAAAATCTGTGAAACATCAGGGTTTTTTCTTTTTTTTGAAGACAAAGACTTACATGGGGAGTCTAAATGAAGCTACCTGAATTGCTCAAGTCACTGAGTTTTCTCAAGCTTGAGGACTGCATTAATAATTATTATTGCATTTAATTAGTAATAACGCTTCATCATAAATTATGCAACAGAAAATAAGTGTGTGCCCTGCCATTAATGTCTCAAGATCTAGTAGAGAAGACGCTTTATAGAAAAGCATTTGTGAAACTGACTGAAAACCCAAACGCCACATCAAATATAACAAACAGGCGTTTTTTGTGGTTTGTTTTTTTTTTTTTCTTCAAAATTATGCACAAAACACTTAATTCTACCTTTCAAGAATGTGTTTTCGGTCAAATGTCCCCTTTTCTCTGCTAAGCCCACAGATCATTTTCTCCTTTAAATGGGGATAATTTTCTGTTGTTTGAAAAAAGATAATTGAAGGACTTCTGATGAAAGTGGAATCTTCCCACAATTCAAATAATAATGCTGAGAGCCATTTCTTGTGAGGGCAATAGTTTAGCTGTCTGACGTCCCCATCCTTCACAGGGCTGGGCTCCCCTGCCAGGATACAAATCCCATGGTGCCCCCCATCCACAGCATTTGCCTGAGGCACTGCGACAGCTCAG